TTTTAGTTTTTGTATGTTTTAAATATGGGCAAGTTTCAGTTCTATGTTTGCCCTTGCAATGATTACAATAGTACAGCCTTTCGTATTTTAGTGTACTTGAATTATTTATCTTTAAACAAAATATTTTCTTCTAGGAAAGAATGCTTTTTATTTTTTCCTATATGTTCCTTATCTCGTTTTGTTTTTCTATCATAACCATTTAAGATTTTTCTTTTTAATTTTATTTCTTTTTTGATAATCTCCGATTGTGGCTTTTTACTTTTCCCTATATGATCCTTATCTTGTTTTGTTTCTACTACAACCTTTTAAAATTTTAATAAGATTAATCTGACCTACATTTGCCTGAGTCAGTTGGTAAAGCGTCTGTCATTTTTGTCAAAGTTTTTATATATACATATTTTATTTTCTGCCGTTATAACCTTCGGCTCGATTTGTGGAAAATTCCTGTTCCTCTTTTTAACAATAAAGGCTTAAAGGCTTAAAATATTTTATATTACTAGGATTTTTATACAATTTCGTTGTTATAAATTGAATATATCACAAATATATTAAAGTATTAACTTACTACTTTTCGTCCTTTTCTAAGGGGTTTGTTGATTGCTGTTTTAACTTCCCATTGGATAGTATCACGTTTTGGGTTTGTTCTTTTTCCTTGTGATACTGGGGTCCCTTGACGTTTATAAATCCCTTGGTCGTTTTGTTTTCAATCAATTGTGTCCCTCGTTGGCGACGCTTCGGTTTAGCGTGCAATGCCTTATTTCTTCTTTTTTGTTTTGTTTTTTTATTTATTTAGTATTTAGTGTTGGTTTTTGTATTAGATTTTTTTTTTTAATATTATATACGCACTTTATTCAATTTGAATCGCTTCGAAATTGGCGTAGTCATGGTGCAACACTTTTGTTATAGTTCGCTTCCTGTTGTTGTTATTTCACTACCTATACTCTCGTTGCATTTTTTGAAGATTCGTGTGTTCACAGCGTGTCCACTCTTTTGCTTGCAATTGCTCTACCCATAGAACAATACTATATTAGTAAGAGTAAATTGATTTCTTACTGCACGCGAAAATATTTTCCACAATTCTTACTCTTCAAACTTTAAAAATCTTTAGTATTAAAACTTTTTGTTTTTTGGTATTTGATTCGTTTTTGTGGTTTTTTTTTTTGTGCACTCGCGTAGCCGTACTTTTTGATTTTCGGGCCTTTTATTCGCGTCTCATTCGCGTAGCCGTACTTTTTTTGTTTTTTTCTTTTCTCCTCCCGAGAGGATACTTGATTGTTAATTTTGTGGTTTCGACACGCGTCACTACGATTGTCTTTTCGGCTAGGGATACTTGTTTTTTTCTCCCTTTTTTTGCCGAGGATATTACTAATACATGCCCCACGCGTTGGGAGCCAATTAACTTCCTTCTTTATGGAAGTATTAAAAAAATATATGATTCGCCAAGCGGCGGAAGAAATCAAAAATGATGGTTTGAGTGATCCTGATGTATAACTGAATCTCTTTATTTCAATTTACTCTGATTTATACAATTTTCTTATTTGCTTAATTCTTACAATAAGTGTCAGTTACAATATTCGTTTATTCAGTAATTGGTTTTTTTGTTTACATTGTATGGGTGGTCTTAGCTTAATGAAAAGAATATTGGTTGCTTGAAAAGCAAAGATGCTTATTAAGAAGCTGTGGTCTTAGCCTTAATGAGAAAGAATATTGATTACTTAAACAAGCAAAGATGCTTATTAAGAAGCTGTATTATTGCTAAGTGCAAAGATACAGTTTGGTTTATAATGAGCTCTAAGCTACTGTTTGGAGGCTGCCGTTAACTTGCATAGCGATTCCCTATTGTGTTCGCCACATGGCCCATGCTTTAGGGATCAGGAATTTCTGTGCAAATTATTGAGTCAATTTTATTTGGTCTTATTTTGTCAACCATCCACAAAAGAATTTGTGCGTGAGGTCCTCTCTGGTGCCTCTTTACAGCATACATCCAACAGCGTACTTTTCCAAAGACATTATATTTGAAAATGAAGTCCATTAGCACTTTGAGTTTCTGCTTGAATACTCGTTATGTCATAACGATCGCTGTCTGATTGACGAGGTAATAACAGATTAGTAATTTCGGTCCACTTTGGATTGCATTTGTAAGTAATAAATAAATCTGGTCTACCCTATTGGCGCACTTTGGTCACAACATCTTGAGCATATTCATACATGTGTATCGGGCTTACCACATACGTTGCTGATAAAATTGTAAGTCGGCCCACATTATTTCTTTTTCCATCTGTGTTTATGGCATCGCGCTAACGAATATATTTTTCTGAACGTAATGATTTTTTTCTGGTTGAAACGTATGTATATAATTTAAATGTTTTGCTTCAATCTTAACAAAAGTGCATACCAACAGTAAACTGTTGAGATAATCTGAAATATTTCCAAACGTGATTATCTTGTTTACACGTACTTGTATTATGAAACGGTATGCATAAAAATCCATTGAGCTGACCTTTTTGTTAATTTCTTGACCTTTAAAATGAAATAAAATAAATTTAATACAATACTAAAAGAATATTTCTACCATTATTATTTTGTGCGATAATTTAACAAAATTTAGATTTTGCTTACATATCCATGTAGATTACGCACATACCGTTACTGAATAAATCTTCTTCATCATAAAATGATATCCGTCTTCCTTTCTGCAAAATAGTAAGGGATATTATAATATAATATATCATAGGAACGATGTGTTTTACTCATACGCTTAAAGTTGTCAACATCACGTCGTTGAATTACAACATCGCGAAATTCCATATTTTCTCCAAAAAGCACGATGGTAACTTCATTTAATGTTGGTGCATTGAAGCGTATTTCATGTTTTCGTACAGGTCTTTTGTCTGCTCTTATTACTATTTTATGATTATTCGACGGCATCAGTTCTAATGCTGTTTTAAACAATTGGATCAACGAATTATATTCATATGTATATGTAAGAGTTGTTGAACCCTAATGACAATCTCTCTCCTAACTGTACGATTGAAAGCACAACGTTGATACACTTCATTTTCAGAGTTTCCTGGGAAATAAACTTGAAAAAAAGTGTATTCACCATCAACCGATGGCAAAAATGCTTCTGTGCTGTGGTGAATTTGTTCTTGAATCTGAATGGATTTGTACATTAATATGTTATTTAGAGAATAATCAATACCTCAAAAGTTGGATTCAAACCAGGTTGTTCAATAATATTTGCACCAAATGATGTCATACTGAATGAACATACTGTTATAATTTAAATATTTTGCAAGAAAGGCTGTCATATTGGATCTTGCCCTGAAAGTAATGAATTGAGTTGTTCACATTATTATCATTATTATTTTTATTATTAGATACGTTGTATGCTGCAGCGGCCTTTGACGCTAACAACAAATAGTATTCATTGTTTCAAAATCATCCAACTGGTAATAACCAGAGTAATCGACCATATGTCATTTGTCTTTCATACTTGTTTTAATCTCTTAATTGCTTGAAATATGATGCAGGACATTATCTATTAGGTCCGTTGTGATATACTATGAGTGTCAAAAGCGAGTCAACACCTATGAGACAACAAAAGCAAAAAAACAACAACAAGTAAACGGTGTACGTTTCAAAATTTAGTCAAACCACAACATGTCACATTTTAAGCGTCAAAAGTGAACCAACACTACTATTTAAAATTTACTGCTTGATGATATCGTTATATTCATAGCAAGTTGGCTAGTAAATTAAATTCGGTTTCCCTTATCTATGTTATTTCGAATTGTTATTTGCAGTGAGACAGTCAGGGAGTTTAAAAAATTATGTATAGAATAGTGAAATATTTTACTAGCCAACTTGCATGTAAAAATTATCAGAGCCGAAATCTCCTTGGAAACCAAGAAAACCATTATTGATTTGAAGGAAAATTAAAAATCTTTGCGACAAGTTTCGAAAATCATTAGAAGACATCCCACATCCATAAAAAGATCGTGGATAAATCCAAAAACTGCAAGTAGTTAGCAAATTTTAAGCGATCCGCTCGACCAAAATGGCTGCATGAGACGAAAGTAAGGCAAAGGCCGCCAACCGCGAAAGAAAACATTTATTTCTAGAGTTAGCAGCACTGTTCTTTTCTTTCTTTCTTTTTCTTCTGGAGTTGGTGAACTTGCTTGAAAGTATTAAATTAGAATGTTTCACCAAATGTTAATAAATTGGGCTCTTTGTGGTCATTGATTCTTCCAAAAAGACAATTACCCCAAGCATACCTTACCTCATGCTTGGCGAAGGAATGGATACTACTTGTATAACGAACAGCTGAAACATCCCCCTCAATCCCCAGGCCTAAGCACAGTTAAGCATATACCTATAAGACTATCTGGACCAACATAACGAGTAAAGAGTCTCTCAAAGCTGCATTGCTGGAAGAGTGGAAAAATATACCAGTGGAGTATACAAACAAGCTAATAGAGTCGCTGCCACGAAAACTAAAAGATTAAGTTTAAGGGACGCCAAACTTGTTGTTGTTTTTTAGCTTTTGTTATTTTAGTATTGAATAAACTTTTAGGTTTGTAAAGGGTGCTTTTTAGAGGTAAAGAACTTTAAATTGAATAGTATAAGTACAATAAAACAACGATGAATTATTCGATTGACATGAATTTTATTTATCCGAGAGATAATCTTGTGGCATTACATTTTAAATATGATTTCTGGCATATTAGTATATTAGAAAGTAGTCTAGCGGTGTTAAAACACAAGATCTTAAGGGCCAATTCACGGGTCCAAAACGTGAAATTAGACGGTCACCAAACGTGTCTTTCAATAAATCGATTGTGGCACGACCTGTGTGACATGTTGCGCCGTCTTGTTGGAACCACAGCTCCTGGACATCATGGTTGTTCAATTCAGGTATGAAAAAGTTAGTTATCATGGCTCTATACCGATCACCAATGACTGTAACGTTCTGGCCATCATCGTTTTTGAAGAAGTACGGGCCAATGATTCCACCAGCCCATAAAGCGCACCAAACAGTCAGTTTTTCTGGATGTAACGGTGTTTCGACATACACTTGAGGATTAGCTTCACTCCAAATGCGGCAGTTTTATTTGTTGACGTATCCATTCCACCAGAAGTGCGCTTCATCGCTAAACAAATGAAATGAACGTAGTGCACGAAGCGTATTCTGCACAGAACCCTTATTTTCAAAATAATATTGCACTATTTGCAAGCGTTGTTCAGGCGTCTATTCATGATGAATTGCCAAACCAAACTGAGAATAAATCACTTGACAGCTGTTAAATCGGTCGCCATCTTGAACAGTAATGCCAACTATACCTCGAAAAAAACACCCGCTATAAAGAATTCCGATCCTCTGGTTGACGTTTTCCAAATTAACGCAATTGATATTAAATTTAAGCTCTTCGGTCGAGTAAATATCGTATACACACCATATATCTCATTTGAAGGTGTTTTTAATATAATTTTAGTTGACGCGAACTAAAATATAGCAATAAATCTAAGTCTAAATTCATGGTCTTCAATATAAGTCAAGAAGACATTAAATTTGATTGTAATTAATTCACGATTTTCTCAAATTAAGGGTTTTTAATTCTTTCGCAATATTTTTATACTCTCGCAACCTGTTGCTACAGAGTATAATAGTTTTGTTCACCTAACGGTTGTTTGTATCACCTAAAACTAATCGAGTTAGATATAGGGTTATATATATATAAATGATCAGGATGAAGAGACGAGTTGAAATCCGGGTGACTGTCTGTCCGTCCGTCCGTCCGTCCGTCCGTCCGTGCAAGCTCTAACTGGAGTAAAAATTGAGATATCTTTATGAAACTTCGTAGACATGTTTCTTGGTACCGTGAGACGGTTGGTATTGCAGATGGGCGTAATCAGACCACTGCCACGCCCACAAAACGCCATTAATCAAAAACAAATAACTTGCCATAACTAAGCTCCGCAATAAGACACAATCTGCATCATCTGCAGTTAAAACTTTTTTTTAAAAACTGGGCGTGGTCCCGCCTCTAATAGGTTTAATGTGCATATCTCCTAAGCCGCTAATGCTATAATAACAAAATTCACTAGAAGCAAATGTTTTTGGCACTTCTATTGACGGTGTGAAAATAGTTGAAATCGGGTGGCAACTCCGCCCACTCCCCATATAACGGTACTGTTAAAAACTACTAAAAGCGCGATAAATCAAGCACTAAACACGCCAGAGACATTAAATTTTATCTCTGAGATGGTATAAATTGGCTTTATAGGAACCGCGTTCAAAATTAGTCAGTGGGCGTGGCACAGCCCACTTTTAGGTGAAAACCCATATCTTGAGATCTGCTCAACCGATTTCAACCAAATTCGGTGCATAACGTTCTGTTCATGTTTCTATGTCATAGTGCGAAAATGGGCGAAATCGGACTACAACCACGCTTACTTCCCATGTAACACCATTTTCAATTCCATCTGATTCTTTCACTTTCCACTATGCAAATCAGGTAACAATGATTATATCGGGGTAAAACTTTGCGTGAATAATGCAATTAAAGTATGTAACCTTGCGGCCAAAAATTGTCTAAATCGAACCAAAACTGTTCAAACCCCTAAGTACTAAATATGTGGACCCCAGTGCCTATAGTTGACCTTCTACCGCAAATATCAGTCAATCCGCAAAGAAATCTCAAACGAGTATACCATTTGACTTTGCGAGAGTATAAAATGTTCGGTTACATCCGAACTTAGCCCTTCCTTACTTGTTTGATATAAAGTTTTGCCAGCAGTTGAGAAATTCCCGGGCTTTGATTCTCGCAAAATGCAAGTGTATAAAATTTTAAGTTACACCCGAACTTAGCCCTTCCTTACTTGTTATTTCTAAAATTTGTCAATCTATTTGGCTATAATAGCGGCCGTCTTTGCATTTAATAGTTCTATATTGACATTTCCTATTATATTTTTATTGATTGCCGCTCAGCTATTAGTTAAAACAAGTGGCGCCAAAATGCACTCAAAAATGCCGCTCATAGGCAGCTCATTATGTAGCATTAAAGCTTCCACAGACAGACGGATGGACAGATATTCATTCCAATTTCAATATGTCTCGTCATCCTTATCCTTTACCTTTATGTATGCGTATCTCGATTAGTTTTAGGTTTTACAAACAACCGTTAAGAGAATAAAACTACTATACTATGTAGCAACATAATAAGAGAGTAAAAAAATGATGACAATACACTATGAATTCAATCGGAAATGGATGTTTACATTAATAACATCAGTTATTAGTAAATAAAAAACGTTAACTTCGGTTGCGCCGAAGCTATAATACCCTTCACAAATACAAAGGTCCCTTACAAGAATTTGATTCCGAACGTTCAATTTGTATGGCAGCTATATGATATAGTGATCTGATCTGATCAATTTCTGTGGAGAATAATTTGTTGCCTTAAGCAATAACTCGTGCCTAATTTCGTGAGGTATCTTTCTCAAATAAAAAAAATTTCCATGCAAGCACTTTATTCCGATCGTTCAGTTAATATGGCAGCCATATGCTATAGTCATCCGATCTATACAATTTCTTCGGAGGTTAGATTAATGCCTTAAATAATAATACATGCCAAATTTCGTGAAGATACCTCGTCAAATGAAAGAGTTTCCACTACAAGCACTTGATTCCGATTGTTCAGCTTCTTTGTTAGAAAAGGACACTTGCCAAATTTCAGATCGATATCTCAAAAACTGAGGGACTAGTTCGCGTATATACAGACGGACGGACAGAAAGACGGGCATGGCTAAACCAACTCAGCTCGTCACGGTGATCATTTATATATATACTTTATATGGTCTCCGACGTTTCCTTCTGGGTGTTACAAACTTCGTGGCAAAATTAATATAACCTGTTCAGGGCATAATAATAATAAACGGTGTCATGAATTTTTGTGGGTTTTCATTTATGTGCTACTTGCTATGGCTACTGTATCAATTGGTTTAGACTCACTTACTTACTTTTTCGGTGCTAAAAAAGGGACATTCAGTGCTGCAGTGATTCCTACCGCCCCATGAATGAAACCTTAAAAACAAAAATAGACGAAATAGCGACGTTTAAAACAAGGGATATCACACTTGGACTGCTATTTACAGTTCTTTGTGATATCTTGTAGTTTTGGGTGTTACCTGTTCGAGGTGTTCTTAATCTGGCAAAGGTGGGAGATTCCAGAGGGAAATTTTGAGATGATTCTATCTCATCATCTTCCAAGCAGCTCCTAGAACTGGCATCCGGTAAAATGTTCAATATTACAGCATGAATCTCGATTGAATAGTGTCCAGGTAGAACTCTTATAACCACTGAAAGGTGGACTTTGCTGAATACGAAGAACTCGCAAGACAATTTACCCGGGACTGAAAGGACCTTGTAACTATACAGTCGCCAGTAGTAAACCAACGCTTGCTGAGCTGGTCTAGTCCAACAATCTAGTAATTAAGCGTGCGAAGAGAGCTCCTACCCGTTCTCAATCTGCAGTTAGTTTGACTGAAGTACCTGACCTAGCAAGTTCATAAGCATTGTAGTTTTCTGCAATACCGTTATGCCCAGGCACACAAACCAGTCTGATCATATACTAGCTCAATGGCAAGGAGAAGAAGTCTAAACATCCCTTCACCAGTCTTGAACACACAGCTAGCGAGGTTACGGCTAAAATCGCTGCTCTAATATCACAGTGGATAGTGACTACCTCAAGGAGGCTGTTAGTTACTAAGTTAGTTAATACTTACTTTAATAATGAAAGTTATAAATAAATTACTTATTAACAACATATTTTACTTATTTAATTCTATTATTTCACATCACACTTATTCATCGATTACTTCAAATCTCTAACTTATACTCGCAGTGTTTTTGTCTCAGCTCTATACAAGTAAAAAAAACTTTTTGATAAAATATATATTTGAAATACGCGCTCTTTATATTATTCGTACCCTGATTTTTCTTATGTTCGACACTCGCATTTGCCATTTTTGTCACACTTAAATCCACTTACGTCTGATCATCCTGATTAGAGACTTGTTTGTATCTTTTGAGACAGACTTATAACAGTCAAAGAGAATATTTAATTAATAAAGTTTTTTCACAATGCTTTTCTTAGCATTTTTTAGTTCGGCACCTTCTCCTAGCCCTTTTTTACGAAATATTTAATTTCTATTAGCTTACATAATTTTTTAGGAAATATTTCGGATATTCTGCAAGATAGCTCAATCAAGTAATCATTTTATCTATGGGATAAACAAATTTTATGTGAAATATACATATATATCAATCAATTAATATTTAATTTTTTCTAAAGTTTTGCTATGCAATACCTTGCTTACTTGTGGTAATACTCACAATTTTGTACTTAAGTACTTTATCCTAGATTTACTAATATTTGAGTCAAATAAAATTATTTTTGCTTAAATTTTTAGTTCGTTATCTCTAATAAATAAACGTTTACCACAAACTTTCAATTTATCTTAACAACCTATAATTAAATCTGTGAGTTATACTGAATATTAACATAGAAGCACATTTCATCGTATGTACAAATGTATTTGTATATTTCATATCCGCATGAGATCTGTTGTTGATTAACTAAAGTATACATGAATTAAAAATAAATATACTCAATATAAAAATAATCAGTCATAAAATATCTAAACTTATTTTTTATACCGTAAAATATTTGTATCTGTATAAATGCGTTATCTAAAATTTTCAAATTGCTATTGTTAAGGTTTTTATACTTAAGTTTTTTCATAATTCAAGAATTTATATTTAATTATTGCATTGCAGTATAAGCCATATCCATACTTATAACGACGATAAATCACATTTTTCTTATTCCTTCTAAAAATGTACATTTCTTCAAACCGATTTCAAAAAGTATAAGTAAACTTCTTACAATGTTTTTTTTTGTCTTCTTCAGGTGACGAAAACATAGTCATGGGGAATTCTGTTTGCGTTACAATTGCTTATTTAAAAGTGTATTTCTGTTAATACTCAATGATATTTTTAATTTTGTCAAAAGCAAGAGAACGATGGGGGCATTGAGTTTGGTGTTCTATGTATAGAATCACTTGAAGATATCGCGACTGCGCAGAAATTTCATAGATCGAATCACCATGAAAATTTTTTTAATCCATACACAATTATTTCACAACATATAAAAATACAATTTGTCGCATACAACCATATGTGTGTGAGTGAGAACAAATCTGTAGCCATGTTAATATTTTTCATTTTTTACTTTCAGTTTCGAAGTAGATCTCTGTCCTAGTGGCTACATGCAATAAGTTTTTCAAAAATATATAGGTACAGTCTATAGTGGAAAGCTAAGTTGAAAACATTACATTTCTTAGTGAATTTGAAATTCTTCTAGCGATCGGTAAACATTTTATTTGATTTTATTCAATTTATATCAGATATTCAATATTCCAGAGTAAGTAAAAGTGTAAGCTAAGGCAAAGTATTCATGACATATATATATATATGTTAATAATTCTAACAACGTAGAGGCGGTATTCAGAAAATTTCTTCCAAAAGTTCATTATTTATCTAATAAATTTTTCAACTCTTCTTATAAAAGCGTATTAAAAATTTGAAATTTTGAATATAAATTAGTGGTTAATTAGTAACATTTATGTATTTCGAGAAAAAAGTATTTCGTAATTCTAAAAACTCTTGGATGCGAAATTAATTAAGAAATATAAACAATATGTTTATTACGCAACATTTTCCAGTCATCGGATTCCTTTTTAGATATAGTCTGGGATAACCTTTGCAGATGTTTTTATTCATCTTCAGTGATTTATACATCGCTCTTGTGTATATTTAAAGAAAAGTTTTTGCAAAAAAAATATATTCATAGAATGTACCATATAGCTTTCCGCTTTTAAGAATATAAGATATACTCTACAAATGGCATAAAGCATTACTGCAAATTTATAAATACCAAAACATAAATATTGAAATGTTACATAAACAGAGTTTTAACTATATTTGTTTTTGCTCTCGAAATGTAAAAATATAATAAAAATTGCTCACAAAGGCACATTATAAAAATTTCGCTTTTTGTCGTTGCAAATAATAGTGAAGAATACTAAATTATACTTACTTACTGGATTAAATACGTTTTTATATACATAATAATTTTAAAATTAATTTTTAAAAGATAAAAAAAATGATGTACGAAACACAATAAAAATTGCTTACAAAGTCAAATTACCCCTATATCAGTTATAACCGTTATAAATAAAAGTGAAAAATATTCTTTTGAATAATTGTATAAAGTAATTTTTGTTTTTACTTTCACTATTCAAAGAAACTAAATGGATTACAATAAAATTTAGTATCTTATACATAAGTTGTATTATCGTAAATCGTAGACCAATTTCACATACCTATAATATTTTTGGAACTAAGATTAAGTATATCCAATGCCAAACGTTCACCTAATGTTCCTAAGATATCTTACACATTGAGCAATATATTAGGTATAAAGTCAATAGTAAGGTTTAAATATTATAATAATTGTAATTCCCATAAGCCTAATGGAGGCTAGGAGTAGAATTGCTTACAAATTATCACCAAAAAAAGACTATATCCAAGTTTTATTAAGATACATCCAACTGGCTGTTTTAAAATCCTTATATAAGGTATATGGGAGCTAGATGAAGTATTGATCTGATTTTGTCCATTTTAAGCATAAGGACACACTATTATTAGTCTGGGATGAGATCTTTATTTATTTAAGATATATTACATATTGATCCGAATATACGGTATAAAAACAACCGGATTTTTGACACAATTGAACACTATTAACGGGAAAAGACTCCCTCCGAATTTCAATAAAATATCTTGGAGTTTCAGTGATATTTTTGGTCAAAAATCAGTTAGCGGCAATGCGGTCCACATATTCGGTATCTGGGATTTGCAAATGTATGGTTTAATTTTGACAATTTTTAAGCCAGACAATTTTAAAAGTCACCCGGATTTAAATACGTCTGATTATCTTGATCATTTATATTGGTATATACTATATAACTCTATATCTATCTCGCTTAGTCTAAAGTGAAACAAACAACCTTTAGGTGAACGAAATTATGTAACTACTTATGTAACAACATGTTTCGAAAGTATTAAAATATATAGACCAACTTATGCTTGGCGAATATACGTTTTATAAAAGCGCAGTGACTAAGATGTTTAGGCAATGTAACACTAAAACGGCGGAGAAAAGCCAAAGAATTAAACACTGAGTCAAGGTGAAGAACAAGATCAAGATGGATCGATGAGTTTTAGGCAGACGTGAAAAAGCTTGGTATAAAACATTCGAGAAAAATCGCAAGTGACTAAGTTGTCTAGAAGTCACACGTGCAGCAGGCCAAAGCTCGCAAAGAGCTGTAGCAGAAAGAATACATGTATTTGGAATTGAACCTATAAGTAGCATAACCAAGTAAATTGTAACAAGTATATTTCTAACTGGCAAAAGTGAAATTTTTTTTGAAAAGTGGTGATGGGCCCGCCATCTAATATAATTGATGTATACATCTCTCCTATAACTAAAGCAACATATATATAATATGTACGAGTATATGTATCTAAATCTCTGGGATGGTATGAGATGATTTTATAGGAACCGCGTTCAAAATTAGACAGTGGGCGTGGCACCGCCCACTTTTCGGTGAAAACCCATATCTTGAGATCTGCTTAACCGATTTCAACCAAATTCTGTGCATAACGTTCTTCTCATATCACTATGTCATAGTGCGAAAATGGGCGAAATCGGACTACAACCACCCCTTTTTCCCATATAACACCATTTTCAATTCCATCTGATAATGTCACTTTCCACTATGCATATCAAGCAAAAATGATGGTATCGGGGTAAAACTTTGCGTGAATAATGCGTTTGAAATATGCCACCTTGTGAGCCCCTAGGTAATGAATATGTGGACCCCAGTGCCTATAGTTGACTTTTTACCGAAAATATCGGTCAACATAGAACAAGGCGGCAAGATCCACAAAGAAATCTAAATCGAGTATACCATTTGACTTTTCAAGAGTGTAAAATGTTCGGTTACATCGGAACTAAGCCCTTCCTTACTTGTTTTATATTATTGTTTGCCAACACTTTGAAATAGTTAATACGCCTTCCATTCATACACAGTTCGGCTGCTTGAACTTATTCCAAAATAAAAACAAATATTAAAATTAAAAAAACACAAGTAAGGAAGGGCTAAGTTTTGCGTGCAACCGAACATTTTGTACTCTTGCAACTTGCAAAGACTAAAGCCGGTTAAATTTGGGAAAACTTCATGTTACAAAATGTTGCAAAACAAATTCCTCATTCATTATTCGAGGAAATCGTAAATGGGTTACAATCAAATCTAGTATTTTACTATATTTTACTTCCCGTCAGCTAAAATTGTTTTAAAATCATCTTCAATAAGATATATAGGATATAAACTCAACTGAAGGACCGAGATTTAATATAATGAGTTGATGTGCAAAACGCCAACCAAAGGATCGCAATGCATTACTTAAGGGATATAAGATTTGGACCAAAGTCTAGACCAATTTCATTCATATTTCTACCAAAGTTTAAAGAAAACTTGTTCATTAAATTGTATTAAAGTATCACACATGTTGTCAAGTGGAAATATGTAAATTATTATACCTATATTGGGGACAGGGGACCATGTGCTGATTGAGATAATTTTGACATTGCTGAGGTTTACTTAATATCATATTTTCAAGCAATTTTATAAAAATATAACTCACACATTAAACGACATTTTCGGCATAAGGTTTGTTAGAATAACGTAAATCAATAAACATATTTAGTATGTAGGAGTTGGAGTAGTTCGTAGAGTAAATAAAACAATAGTATATTCAATATTTTACGTTAAACTACAAGTATAGTATAATATTATATATACAGTACTATACGTTCAGTTAATTTTGCTAAAATGAAAAAAAGGCGAGAATTTTTTGCAATTTAACTGAATAATATTTAATCGCGATTAAAGCGATATAATTTAATAATTTACTCTGAACTCTACCCTCTGGAAGTTGTCATCGGAATGCATGATCGGCTCCCGTTTTCCCATTGCCTACCGTGCTAATTTTACTAATTGCTCCCGTTTCGCTTATTGAACCAATCAGAACGCGTCACGCCACGTCAATTCATACGTAAGCAGGTAGGACCTACGAGAATTAACCTAATGATACTGCCATTTACTCCCGCTTCGCTTATTAAGCCAATCAGAGCGCGCTACGTCAGTTCATATGTAGCAGGTCAATCATGCTGTCATATCGTTCGTAACACCCTCGCCTGGTATATCCTGCTAATAATGGTGTACTGAATTAATCAAATCCAGAACGGCTTTTTTGACGGCAGGTCTCTCAAAGAGGTCTCTCGAGCGATTAAATTACGTACAGCTAGAACGCAGGAGTCTGTTGAAAGCGAGTATGCGATTTCAAGATGCATCGCTTTTGTTGTTAAGCAGGTGAACAATACTCCGTATTTTTTTTGGGTACTTTTTTTAACCGTGACCAAGAGTGGACCAAAGTAGTCAACGCCTACGTAGGAA